CGTTAGAGAATGATTTGGGGCCACAGATTCAACTTTTTTTGTGTTGGCATTACTTGTGACCCGCCTCTTCCCACCTGTGACCTCAGTGGGGCTCCCTGGGTTCTCCCTGTTGGGGCCTCCGCCCCTAGCACAGCAGGCACATCCTCTGCCCACCCTGACACATCTCTGGTTGGAGGTCCAGCATCCAGCAGAAGCACAAGTCCCCAAGTTTGCAGCTGGACCTCCTGGAGATGACAGCATGGTCCTCATACCAAGATAATGTGAGGCACAGAAGCTGAGCAAGACCTTTGAGGTCCAACCTGCTCCTTTCTCAGAGAATGAAATAAGACCCAGAGAGTAAAAAGTGACCTGTCTAAGGAAACACAGCCAGATCAAAACGAAGATGGACTAGCCCTGTTATCTCCTGCCTCCTCACCCCCTTTCCCAGCACTATTCCACAGGTATAAAAGAGTATCATATTTATCTATCGACAGATTACTTATACTTTCTTCTTTTTCTAAAAGGCATTAACCACAGCTTTCAATAAAAGATGAATGTATAAATAATTTAAGCAAAGGTAAAGAGAATAAGAGGCATGTATTTAAGGGAGTGGATGGGGAGTTCTCAATATCAAAAAGCTACCTGGTAGGGCAATACTAAATCTAAATACTTAGATTTAGTTCTGAGTTTCCTAGAGGCCAAGTTGAAAATGGAAACACTTGTGAGTTACACAGCTCTCATTATCTTATAAAGAAAGCATTTAAGGTTTGTCATAAAAACATTATCCAAATGTTAAACTTAAGTGAAATTATCAGCTATATTACATCGACAGTATCTTTAGTAACACTTTTATAAAAGATATGGGACAATTTTTGATAGAGTTAATGCTAAATCTTGGTTCTCTGGGAACCTAAAGTACTAGGGTGCAGGTATGAACATTTGCTTTAATTTGATTTAATTCAGGATAGAGATTAAAGTCTTTAAAGCAATAGCTGTCAAATATCAATGTGCAAATAATTTACCTGAGTTTCTTGTTTTAAGTACAGATTAACTGCCCTTTCTTATTCCTCACTCCTTTTTCTGTATGTCTGTGATAAAGCCTAAAAATCTGCATTATTAACAAGCTCTAGTTCTGACGCAAGTGGCCAGTGGAGCACATTTTCAGAAATGCCAGTCTAGATGAACAACTTGTTCCTATGCTCCTTAGCTTTGATCAGATCCTTTGAATATAAATTTTCTCCACTTGGTTTTTGATTAGCAGTCAACAGCCTGAGACAGACGGAGAGGAGACAGAGGAAGTGCAAAGGTTCTGGGTTGTTGAGGTTTCTGTGTTTTATATACCAGGCACCTGAGGAATAAAGATGGGGTCTGCCTAAAAAGCTCAAACCTTGAGAAGTGAAGGGCTCCCTGTAAAGGGCTGGGGAGAGGTGGGAGAGGGGCAGTCCTAAGGGCCAGGCTGGACACTCCAAAGCCAACCTTTGCTGCTTTGCCATTTTCTGAGACCCAGCCCTGTTTGGTTCTGCTGTGCACAGGGAGTTTCTGCCTCACGTTGCTGCCTTTGCCTACAATTCATGGGAAAACCTTCCTGGAACTCCATCCTGAATCACAGAGGTGGGGCTAAAGCAGGGATCCATGGGGGACCATAGTTTTCTAATAATTCAGGGTGGGCTTCAGGAGCCCTGAAACCCTTGAAATTATATACAATATTTTGTGTGGATGTGCATATGTGTATTTTTGTGAAAAGAGGTTGCAGTTAACAACTTTCATCAGATTTGCAAAGGGACCAAAAACAAAGAGTTAGAATCACTGGGAGCTCCTGGTGTGGCCGAGGGTACACTGAGCTTCACGTTAACACTGGTGTGCTCCCATCCCATTGCAGCCTGAGGTCAGTTAGCTGACAGCCTCCTTGGTGACAGCTAGGTCACTGAATGCCTCTCTGCAGGAGCCATCCTCCCTGCCCAACCTGAGGATTATGGTCGCAAAGCTGTCAGGCTTAACTTTGACAAATTGTTTTGGGTAAATTAGTCCCTTTTAATTGCTTGTGGAAATAGTAATTTTACACGACAAGATTATTACAGGCTGCTTGTTAATGGGTCCTCCAGCATCAAGAAAACACCACTGAGATCGCGACGACCTGTTCTTGTCCCTCTTTGGCCTCACCCTTGAAATAGCCGGAGAAGACGTTAAGTCAAGTCAGCTCCCTCTCCTTGACAAGTACAGAGCACGTATTTCCTTTTATCCTTCTGCCAAGTGAAGGATTAGAGAAGGACTTTCATCTTTTCCCTGCTACCACCAGCTCATGTCAGCCATCACAGACTTGCTGATCATTAACTTGAAAAGCCGAGGAAGTTTCTAGCTCTTCCATTTACTTGTTTACCTGTTGGGCCAACTTGCTTTACAACTGAATGAGTTTTGAATAAACAGGGTACTAGGTGATGAAAATACTTGACTCAGCTCAAGTTGGATATTTTCAATTGCTTTTCAGTTCACTGAACAGGAGGGTCAGTTTGACTGATCTGTCAGGGCAGGTCTGCCTTATGGTTCGCCATGTGCAGAGGAGGAGGGATGGGAGGTAGAGGTGTCTTCTCAGCAGTTTATGAAGCTGGAATTGACTGGCTATTTACTAGCTGTGTCCTACTGGGCCCATTTTACCTCCCTAAGCCCTCATTTCATCATTTGTCCAAAGGGGATAAAAATAATAGCTAGCTCATGGCACAGCTATGAGGTCTAAATGGTATAAATACCCAGCATATAGCAAGAGCTAAACCAAACAAAACAGATAGCATCTATTATGATTACAGTCCATTTCGCCTTCTCAAATCCAGAAGTCTGAGATAGTGCAGAACTCAAAGAAATAAATATCACACTTCATGACCTCAAAGCTCGTGACTGTAGCTACATCTAATCCCAGATCCACTGAAATCCTTTTTAAAATGATGCAGATGAACATAGAGATTGCGACACTGCTATCAATTCAAAGTGGTTGTCACTGATTTCAATGTGTATAACCACATTCCTTGAAATCAAAGATTTCATGTGAAACTGATGATAAAGAATTTGCAGGGGACCCAATGTCTCTCTCTTGTTCTTGCTGGAACAAACCAAAGACACCGCTTTTATGGTGTGTTTTCAAAAATGAGAATTTCATTTTTTTTAAAAGAAAGATGTTTGCTCTTTCCCCCTAGTTTTGTAACTATCACAAGATTTTGTCCTCATTCTTTAGAAACTAAATGCTAATAAATGTGCTCCTTCATGGAGCCGATTCTTTTTTTTAACATCTTTATTGGAGTATAATTGCTTTACAATGGTATGTTAGTTTCAGCTTCACAACAAAATGAATTAGTTATATATATACATATGTTCCCATATCTCTTCCCGCTTGCATCTCCCTCCCTCCCACCCTCCCTATCCCACCCCTCCAGGCGGTCACAAAGCACCGAGCTGATCTCCCTGTGCTATGTGGCTGCTTCCCACTAGCTATCTACCTTACGTTTGGTAATGTATATATGTCCATGCCTCTCTCTCTCGCTTGGTCACAGTTTACCCTTCCCCCTCCCCATATCCACAAGTCCATTCTCTAGTAAGTCTGTATCTTTATTCCTGTTTCACCCCTAGGTTCTTCATGGCATTTTTTTTCTTAAATTCCATATATATGTGTTAGCATACGGTATTTGTCTTTCTCTTTCTGACTCACTTCACTCAGTATGACAGACTCTAGGTCTATCCACCTCATTACAAATAGTTCAATTTCGTTTCGTTTTATGGCTGAGTAATATTCCATTGTATATATGTGCCACATCTTCTTTATCCATTCATCCGATGATGGACACTTAGGTTGTTTCCATCTCCGGGCTATTGTAAATAGAGCTGCAATGAACATTCTGGTACATGATTCTTTTTGAATTATGGTTTTCTCAGGGTATATGCCTAGTAGTGGGATTGCTGGGTCATATGGTAGTTCTATTTGTAGTTTTTTAAGGAACCTCCATACTGTTCTCCACAGTGGCTGTATCAATTTACATTCCCACCAACAGTGTAAGAGGGTTCCCTTTTCTCATGGAGCCGATTCTTAAGCATATCATTTATGCATATCATTTCATTTAAGCATATCATTTCATTATTTTTCTCAGATTTCAAAAGAGTCAGTACTCGCCTTTATTGCTATTTCCCAAGGTTAGTGGTCATATCTCTTCTCTACTTACTTCCCTCTCCAGTAGGCAAACTCAAACACTGCACCAAGGAGTAAAATGTCATCTCAGGAAAAAAGTGGCTAGCTCTCTAGTTATATCCTGAAGTAAGAAAAACCTGCTTGACGTAGAGAATGGACTTGAGGACACGGGGAGGGGGAAGGGTAAGCTGGAATGAAGTGAGAGAGTGGCATGGAGATATATACACTATCAAATGTAAAACAGATAGCTAGTGGGAAGCAGCCGCATAGCACAGGGAGATCAGCTCTGTGCTTTGTGACCACCTAGAGGGGTGGGATAGGGAGGGTGGGAGGGAGACGCAGAGGGAGGGGATATGGGGATATATATATATATGTATAGCTGATTCACTTTGTTATAAAGCAGAAATTAACACACCATTGTAAAGCAGTTATACTCCAATAAAGATGTTAAAAGAAAAAAAAAAAAAAGAAAAAGAAAAGCCTGCTCTAAGAATTGGAAATGGGATAGAAAGCTGGAGGTTTGTGTATCTTGGATGGCAAAGATCCCTCCTTGTTCTTATCTTGAACACAAACCTTTTCTAAGCCTTAATGTAGCCAATTATAGGGGAAAGGAGAAGTGCTGAGAGTGCTGAAAATTATTTCAATTAACTTATTTAGGTGGAGTGTTTGGTGGGAGTCCACAGAAATATGAATTATAATTCATGTGGAAGTCTGGAAGTTTCAGTAGATTGCATTTATGTAACAGGGAAAACAACACAAAGTACATGTGCTAGGGACACGGGGGTGTCTGGTTAATGTTTCTATGCAAAAGATAAACCCATTTGTTTGGTAATGGTCTTATTTGCTCTTCTAGCTGCTGTGGTCTGTGTGACACTTCTCAACAGACTTGAATGCGACCAGATCAACTCTCCCCATGATGTTCTGGTGGAGTACCAGAAACGGCCTCAGCTCCTAATCTCCAGATTCATCAAACAGCGGCTTGGACTTCGTGACCAGACATCATAGCTGGGCAGCCCAATCCTTCCCTGCAAGTTTGTAGTTCCAGTCATAATGTTGAAGTCATATATTATTTGTGGCATTTTTATATAGTTTTCATCCACATGCTAAGATCATAATTGAATGATTTTATACAACCCTTTCTCTTAAAAAAAGAATTTATTGTAAAAGAGTTTAATAACTTACATTAAATTAAATTAAATTCAAATTTCATTTAGAATGAGTTAGCTAAGTCAGTCTAATAATTAAAACTGTAAAACTCCTGTACTGTGACATTTGGAGGTTCATATGCAGCATTAATTAGGTTCACATCAAAATAGATCAACCACTTGTGGATACAGTTACCCGTCACTCTGTTTCTGAAACTAATCCAGAAATTCATGTTAGAACGTTGTCAGGCACTTCTAGATGTTGGACAAGTGACAGAAATTGATCATGCATATTCAAAATATTTACAGAAAAAAAGTGTCAGTGTAATGTAGGTCTATATGAAAAAGCTACACTTAGGGAAATGTGATCATACTTCTTTTTTTTCCCCTGCAGGATTTCAGTGCACCACGTAATAGGGTTAGAGGCTTAGGTTTGCCCATGTTTGTCATTTTATCACAAAAAGTAACAACTCTAGATCACGCGTTGATTTTCAAATGAAAACCCTTGGAAGTGCAAAGAAAGATCTTCATTTTTCTTCAGAAATCACAAATGATTAAATCACCTTCTAGCAATTTTTTTTTCTTTTAAGAAAATGCATTTTGAAGAGGCTGTATTTTTATTTTTATTTTTTTTTTGCGGTTTGCGGGCCTCTCACTGTTGTGGCCTCTCCCGTTGCGGAGCACAGGCTCCGGACGCGCAGGCTCAGCGGCCATGGCTCACGGGCCCAGCCGCTCCGCGACATGTGGGATCTTCCCAGACCGGGGTACGAACCCGTGTGCCCTGCATCGGCAGGCGGACTCTCAACCACTGCGCCACCAGGGAAGCCCGAGGCTGTATTTTTAAAGTTTCATTTCAATATTAACCTCATAGGCTGAGGAATTACTAACAAGTGAATTTAGACCTGAGTTTAAGATGTTAGAGTCATCCTTTCGTGTGACTTTGAAGCAGGTCTTGCCTGCACCCAACCTGTACCCCTATTCAGTTTGACCCTGTGGCAGGCATGGTGTCACTTAGGGGGTACACCTTGCTCTGTATGAGTTGATGCCTCCTGGGGCGCTCTTCCAAGGCTGATCCACTTAAGAGCTGGGAAGCAAGGATGGCGGAAGGGTGGAGGAGAGCTTGCAGTCTTGGGTAGCACGTAACGTTGTGTACATATATTTATACTGTTGTGGCTCAAATAAAATTTAATTCCAACCGTGAGAGAGACCTCTTTTGTCTCTTTGTAATCAAAGACAATAAACAATCTCCTGAGAGAAGCATCAGTTTGGGAACTTTTTTGGCAATAGATATGCTTGGAGTGCAATTTTTAAAGTATCCCAGTAATTCACCATCAAATACCAGCATCAGAACTAAAAGTAAGGTAGAATAACACTGCGGTCATTGGTGTGGTTTTCACTGTGTTTCATACATATTTTTAGGCCGAGTGGAAACTATTTCAGACTGTTCTCCGTAAGCCTCTTCAATATGAACTTTTATTTACCTGTTCCTGGAAAATCTTATTTTCCTTTTTATTGAGAGAAGAGGAGAGGTTATGAGAGAGAGAGAGAGAGAGAAGAAAGAAAGAATCACAGTGAGTCCTCCCCTCAGCTCCTGTGGAAGGGTGTGTGTGTGCGCACGCACCTGCCAGCAACCTGGGACACCTCTTTGACGAATCTGCCTTCCTCACTCCCACATCCAAACAATTGCCACGTCCTATGAGTTGATTCTCCTAGATAGCTCTCCAACCTGTCCACCAGTGGACAGCCCTCCTGCTCCTCAAGCCAGCTTCGTCCCAGCCCCACCCACAGCCTCCCACAACGCCCTCTGCAGCCTCCTTAAATTACTCATCACCGCTTGCAATTATGTCATGATTTGTGTCTCTATAGAATTAATGTGCCTAGGCTATAAGGCTCATGAGGACAAAGACTGCATTTGTTTTATTTACTGCTGTACCCCAAGCACCCAAACAGTGCCTGTCTCATTCTAGGTGCTCAGTAAATGTTTGTTAAATGAAGAATGAATCCGCTTCATACATTTCCTTCATAAGCTCTCACTAAAATGCCTCTAGTCTTTACGAGACTTATCCTTTCCTTATTCAGTCCCTTGTCATCTCAGCTCTCCTTGGCTGTCCCTCCCACGACATCTCATTTTACGGGGTGGAAAGTCCTGTGTACCATCAGTGTAGAGTTGTGGTGATGTCTAGAACTTCTTGCTTTCTGCTATAGCACATGGCTTTCCCCTCTGTCAAAACCAAACCCTAGATTCACCTCCTTCAGGAAGGTCTCCAAGTTTAATTCCCCCTCAGTTCATCACATCTAGTTCCCTTAGAACTAGGGTTGCACTAGGATGATATCAATATGTCCTCGTTTGTAGGCTATGCTGAGAACACTTGTCCTTTCTCATGAACTTGGATAATGGCTGCCCAGCTTGTCTTCATTTGGGAGGCTCATGCCTCCCTTCGACTGACTGCCCTCCTTCTACCCTTCGACTGACTGCCCTCCTTCTACCCTTCGACTGCCATGGAGTGCTGTCAGATGCAGGCATTCAGTCACTACTCACCTGTTCCTGCGCTAAGTCTGGGAACCAGCTCTTCACCTCACCTCTAACCCCACCTTCTCCACTCATTCAGTCTCGCCCTCCTAGAAATCTATTCAGGAAACAGACAGGCTTGCAAAAACTCTTCTGATGATTTCTGTGTATGGGTGTTGCATGTATTTTTGGTATGTTTTTTCTTTGTTCATTCATTCATTATAAATCCGTATCTCTCCCTCTTCCCCAAAAGAATCAGAGACAGTTTACAAGGATAAATGAAAGCACATCAAGATAGTACAAATTAGACCTAAGTGGGAAAGAAAAAGGAAAAGGGAAGGGAAGGGGCATCATTGGCACAAAGCCTGAAGCTAATACCAAGATGCGTCGCATACAGTCCATGCACCGGCCGACAGGAGGCGCTGAATTGGCTGTGGGCTGCCTAGCAGCTGCTTCATAAAGAGAAAAATTTTACAGCATCTCAAGACAAAATGTGAACTAATCGTCAGGAGAACTAGTCATGATTCCAAGAGGCCAGAGTGTAGTGTAGTGTAGTGGTGAGTGTGGGGTGGGGGGTGGGGGAGGGGTGTGTGTGTCAGTGCCTTTACTCCAGGTGGCTCTCAACACTGCTGCATGTTAGGGTCAGCAGGGAAGCCTTCAAAAACCACCATTTGGGGCCCCATCTCAGACCAGCTAAATGAGAATCTCTGGAAGTGGGACTGGGAAACCCTATTTAAAAAATTTCCCCTGGTAATGTGCAGCCTGGGTCAAAAGGCACTGATTTAAAAGAATGAAGAGTCTGGGAATCTGGCAGGCACTCCTCCAGCTGAACTTCTAGAAGTCTTTCAATGGTGCCTCCACTGGACTAGTTATATAAAGGTCAAGCTCTTTTACTTGACTCTTACCCCTCAACAAGAACAGTATCTTTTTTCTCTAACTGAGGTATAGTTGACAGCTAAAATGTATATATTTTCAAGTGTACAATATGATGACTTGATAATATATACACATTGTGGAATGATTACTGCAATCAAGTTAATTAACACATCCATCACCTCACATAGTTACCTTTCATGCAATAGCCAAGCTATGGAAACAACGTAAGTGTCTGTTGACTGATGAATGGATAAAGGAAATGTGTTATATATATGTGTGCATTATATATGTGTATGTATGTATATATGTGTATATATATATATATATATATACATACACACAATGCATTGTGTGTAACTATCTATAGATAGATAGATAGATACACACAATGGAATATTATTTATCCATAAAAAAAAGGAAATCCTGCCATTTGTGACAACATGGATGAAACTGGAGGGCATTATACCAAGTAAAATAAACCAGACAAAGACAAATACTGTATGGTATTACTTACATGTGGAATCCAAAAAATAAGTCAGATTCATAGAAACAGAGAGTAGAATGGTGGTTACCAAGGGCTGGGGGCAGGTAATGGGGAGATGTTGGTCTAAGTGGTCAAATGGTACAAATTTCTAGTTATAAGATGATAAGTTTTGAGGATCTGATGTACAGTACGGTGACTATAGTTTAACTCTGTGCTGTACACTTGAAATTTGCTAAGAGGAGATTTTTAGCATTCTCACCAGAAAGAGGAACAATATCTTAACCATTTTATATCCCCAGCAACGTGCACAGTGCCTGACACAGTAAAAGTGAATTAATTATACATATTAATATATTTATATATATTGTTATGGATTAAATTTTTGTGTTCCCCTCACCAAATTCTTATGTTGAAGATCTAACCCTCAGTGTTGCTATATTTGGAGATGGGGGTCTATAAGGAATTAGGTTAAATGAGGTCACAGAATGGGGCCCTGATCTGATAGAATTAGTGCCCTTATCAGAAGGGACACCAGAGAGCTCACTCTCTTTCTCTCTCTGTACACATGTACTGAGAAAAGTCCATGTGAGGATGCAGTGAGAAGGTTGCCATCTGCAAACCAGGAAGAGAGCTCTCAACCAATATGGAATCAGCTGGCATCTTGGTCTGGGACCTGTAGCTTCCAGAGCTGTGAGAAAATAAATTTCTGTTGTTTAAGCCACTCAGTCATTGTTATTTTGTTATGGTACCCACAGCTAAGACATATATCATATATATGAATTACACACGTGTGTGTGTACATATATAAACAAAACCCAAAAAACAAACAAAACCACAATCAATCAACCAATTAAAGCAAATACATAGCTGACTACCTGTCAAGTTAATTTTGCCCAAATGTTATCCCTTGACCAACCTTTCCAAGTAACATGTGTATATTATTCAGTGTAATTTGCTACGTGTAATTTGCTACAGCCAGACCAGTTCCTCTGCTCCATGTTTCACTCCCAAATACACTAGACAATTGACACACAACACAATCTTAGTAAAACACAATCTTTGGTCCAAAATACACTCAATAACTTCTCCTGTTCATTTTTATCCAGTTATAGAATGTTATTTAGTGCTTTGCACCCTGTAGGTACTTAACAAGGACTACAAACTATCAACTTCAGAAATACAACAAAGTGAGTTTAAATTTTACATCCTTCTTTTAAAAACATAGCTCTTAACATTTGGGATTCATTTTGGAGACTGTTGATAAAAATCTATGGACCTGCTCAGCAGAAAAATGCACATTCACATGTATACCCCTGAGTTTGCATATAATTTCATGGGTTTACACACTTTCCTTGGGCTGAGTCATGGCAGGATACCTGTGTCCCTACCACAGGCCACAGTCCCTCTGGATGGCCCTAGTCATACTGCTGTCCTCTAGGTTCTGGTTATTGCTCCCTTCCAGACCCCTCACATCAGGGCTGGTAACAGCTGTTCCAGCTACACCACCCTTTGTTGTTCCCTAAATCCTGCCCACCCCTTTGTGGATAGTCCTTTCAGGAAATTCTCTCAGTTCCCCAGTTTAATTGTGCCATCTGGTTCCTCCTGGGATCCATTAATACAGCCTCCAAAATACATCTGGGGACCCAAAACCATTCGGAAAAATGTAAGAAGCTAAAGTCATTCTATATGCAGATCTTTCAATTATAATTCTTTTACTGCAAAACAGAAGTTAGTATTTTTCTTCTTAACT